ATATATACAGTGGCATTAACCCTCACTGTATTCATAAACAATTAATCAACAATGTTAACAATGACATATCTAATTGTTGCAGATAAAACATCACAATGTTAAATTTAACATTCTTACGAATATAGTCTCATATCTGATAACTGCGGCAAATAACCATCGCAGAAAACTAAATCAACTACAGTCTGTATACAACATTCAATGCATAAATCTCAATACTTCGAGAAATCCAACAACAAAACATATACATTACTGTTAAAAGGTCTCTGTGCAAATATACTCTTTTCTTGTGAACCTTTTGTAAAAAAGTTCATAGGTTTTACGTACTCTCTAAAGTCTATAACAAAAGATTTAAATCTGTCTGAAAACCTATTCACTAAGATAGGCCAAAATAACGCTGATGGCCATTTAGGTACAACTAAAGTGCCTTTAGCTTTACATAACCGCATGTGATTTAAACACTTGCTAACTAAACAAACTGGTGGAACTAACCAGTTATTATGAGCAGACCAATCATATGCGAAAGCATCAACCCCGGAAGTATCTGGTGAATAATATCTAGAATTAAAATAGTCTACTTTTTTGTTTTTCGAATCTGCAAAACGATCGCATGTGAATGGTCCCCATAATTTATCAAAATATATAAAAATTTGATAGGAAACACCCCAATCGTCATAATCAAAAATTTTGCTCAGATAATCTGCATAAATATTTTTATCTCTAGGTATCCATTCAACATCCAAGAAAATATTATGTGACAAACAAATATGAAATAAGCTTAAAGCAATGTCTTGTAATTCTACTTTCATGCTACCTTTTTTAACAATCTGTACTACATTTTGGTTATCTGTATAAAGTTTAACAAATTTTCCTGTTAAATCAGATTTAAAAGAAGAAATATTCTTTTCTACAGTTTTCAATTCTCTCCATGTAGAACTTTTGTTTCTTTCATGACCATCAAACATAAAATGTACAATTTTGTTATCATTCGTTATAAACCCTGCTCCGGCATACTGACTAGCGTCAGTGAAAATTACACGCTGTGGTATTCTATTTACAGGTACAATGCGTTGGAAAGATAATGACTCGCATTCAAAATACCAAAATTTTAGTTCCTTCAAAATGTTGTCATTTATAGGGATGACATCGTCCCATGCAGATCTACAACAGACTAGCATATGCATATGCTTCGTCATCATTTGACAAACGTTACCAAGAGCAGGAATCATAGAAATGATTTTTCCACATATTTTAGCAATACATCTATAAGTCAAAATAGTTTTGCCATCTACTACGCTCGATATTAACAGCTTTAAAGCAAATAATTTTTTAAGCGATATTTCTAAAGTACAATCTTTAAAGTTCCAAACAAAACCTAACCAATCAATATTTTGTACTGGTTCCCAGACACTCTTTTCTGTATTAGCAATAAAACCGGAAAGCAGTAAATCATTTTTTACTGTTTTCGATAATTCAAAACATGTATCAAAATTTTCTGCTGTACCCATACCATCATCTAAATAAACCACCATGGGAAATCCTAAAGATCTCCAGTATTTAACTAACACACGTACTGTCTTGGTAAATATATGACCAGCTGATGAAAGTCCAAAAGGCAAAACCGAAAAAGTAAAATAACGCACTGTATCACCATATTGCCAAGAAAATCCTAAATATTTTTGATGATCAGGGTGAATTTCTATATGGTGATAACCAGACTTTAAATCAAATTTAAACCCAAAACCGCTAAAATTTACAAATGTCATAGCTTCTTTAACCCCTTCAAATTTAACTTTTTGTTTCTCGACAAATTTATTAACATGTCTCAAATCTAAGACTAATCTTTCTTTACCCGTACTATTTACCGACACAGTAAGTGGATTAACGACAAATGGTCGATTTACTTCTTTTATACATTCTTTAGTTAAAAGTTCTTCAATAGAATTTTCCACAAATTCTGAGTGTTTTAACGCGGATCTATTATTACTTAGAAAAATAGTCGGTGGTTCACTCAGAAAAGGAATTCTATAACCAAAATTAATAACATTCATTATAAAATCATTAGCGTTAAGTACATTTTTCCAAAACAATGCATGTTTTCTTAAATTTCCTTTCACATTTATAAGATTTTGACAAGATTTTTTCTCATACTTGTTAACAAATTGAAAACAATACTCAACTTCATCTATGTCTGTATCTGTTTTGTTACTGGGTCTTTCCTGTGTTCTGTTCCTGGAACTTTGGTGCACCAACTGTCGCTGTAGGAATCCTTTTTTCGGGGCAGTTCCTTGCAAAGTGCCCGGGCTGGTTACAATAGAAACACTTGTAACTTTCTGACTTGCCTGCTTTGGAGAACTCGGTATCACTGACTTGGCCAAGGCCACGAAAAAAACTCCTGGAATTGAATTCTCCTTTTCCGGAACCACTATTGGAAGATTCTGGTTTACTGTACGGCTTGGAACTTCTTTTACGAGAAGCCCTGGAAATAGCAGCACGCAAATCACTAGCATCTTCTTTATTGTCGGCCAACGGACTATCCAAGTACTCTTTAACCGTGTCCCATCCATGCTTGTCGGCTATCTTTAGAATTTTGTTACGCTTACGGATGATTTCCTTTTCCTGGGTAATAATTCACTAACTTCGGAAGCGTTTCCAAGCTTTATACAACTTTCAACGGCAGCAAGCCTCTCCAGACGCTCGGTATTAAACGAATGTTGCACTTTAATTCCCTCACTTTGGAATACAAATTCTGGTTGGTCGACACCGGTTGCTTTAACACTTTTTCCTAAACGAGCTTCGAAATGATTAATCAAGGAATGTTTTTGCTTCTCTAAAGCATTGTTTAAAGCTGAAGTGAAAAGCGAAATAGCCCCGTCCGTACTTAACTCTGTTTCGTTACTATTTTCAGCATGTTGAGTAGTAGCACGGCGTTCATCATGGTCGGAGCCTTCCTCGGACATATTATGCAGAGCTAAACGTTAACTTCGTCTATCAAAGTTACTGGAGCACATCGATAATAATCAAACGTAATCAGGACTTATATATGCCTATAAAAACCCACCCGTACTACCGCCCTCGAAATATTCGTGCAGAAAACAACAGTAACATCAGACCACTTCTAATTTACATACTAGCCAAACTTGTACCACAAGTCTAAAGATAGAAATAGAATAGGGAAATTCCAAATATAACGGAATAGAAATAAATGTACAAACAGCCAGCTAAGTGAAAACTTCCTAGCATTGAAACTGTAGGAGGAGTTATCTGAAAATGCTATACACCTCTTATGCAAGTAAATAATCCAAAAAATGACAAAGTTCAACTATCTCCCAAAACACCAAATATTAATAAAAACCAAAACCCTGACCACATGCACACCTTCAATGTATGTACAAACAGCCAGCTAAGTGAAAACTTCCTAGCATTGAAACTGTAGGAGGAGTTATCCGGAAACGCTATGCACCTCTTATGCAAGTAAATAATCCAAAAAATTCGTCAGGGTTCCGCAGAACCCAGTGTCTCGCCTACTTTTGCTGTTAATCGCAGGCTCAACAAAAATGAGGAAAAAAATTAATAAAAATATTCCTCTCTATACAATCTTTTAATTGTAAGTAGCTTCTGTCCAAGTTTGGTAAAAATCCAGGATAGTTTATGAATCTAATAAATGTTTTAAAAACTTAAACTGCAGACTGTATGTAATGTTAACTGGAAGAAAAACTAAGTCCATTTATAAGTAAAATACAGAAAAAATGGAACAAAATTTCCTTCTAGATACTAGCTTTTAATCATAAACAAGCTTCTGTCCAAGTTTGGTACAAATCCAGGATAGTTTAAGAAAGTTGTTAAAATTTTAAAAACTTTAACCACAGAGTGAATGTAATGTTAACTGGCAGAAAAACTAAGTCCATTTATAAGTAAAATACGGAAAAAATGGATTTTTTTTTTTTACGAAATTTACTTCAGGATACTATCTTATGATCATAAACAAGCTTCTTTCCAAGTTTGGTAGAAATCCAGGATAGTTTAAGAAAGTTATTAAAATTTCAAAAACTTTTAACAACAGAGTGAATGTAATGTTTCCTGGCAGAAAAACTAAGTCCATTTATAAGTAAAATACGGAAAAAATGGAATTTTTTTTTACAAAATTTACTTTTGAATATTATCTTATGATCATAAACAAGCTTCTGTACAAGTTTGGTAGAAATCCAGGATAGTTTATGAAAGTTATTAAAATTTTAAAAATTTTAACCACAGAGTGAATATTTGTGGACGCCGATGACGGAATGTAGGATTGCTATGTCTCGCTTTTTCGACAAAAGTCGAAGGCTCGACAAAAATGACACAAAGTTCAACTATCTCCCAAAAGAGCAAATATTAATAAAAACCAAAACTCTGACCACATGCACACCTTCAATATATGTACAAACAGCCAGCAAAGTGAAAACTTCCTAGCATTCAAACTGTTGGAGGAGTTATCTGGAATAGCTATATACCCATAATGGGATGGACGGACGGAAGAACAGACGGACAGGGGTAATACAATATGCCCCCCAAATTTCAGTTGCGGGGGCATAAAAAAGGGAAATCATGGCATGCTGATAATTTCGATGAGTGTTTTTTTCTCCTTCTCTGTAAATACTGTTTGGCAAGCATAATAAAGAACTGCGCCATAAGAGCATGATACGCCCATCACCCTTTTAGCTCGTCTTTATGCTTGAAATGAATTTATATGATACGCTAGGAATACTGCAAGCACTGCTCAAACAGAGCACCCTCCCTCAAACAAAAAAAAGACATGCACACACAGTGGTACTCATTGACCCAAAATGACGATTTTTCAACGAATTATGCTAAGTTGTTGGTGTTGGATTTATAGTTAATCCTTTTAATACAATCTACAGAATTAAATTCACTGTTGTCTATTACACATACTTAAATCATAATAATAATCCTATATAGCTTGACATAGTTTGATTATGTGCAGAAAAAAAGAACTCAAAACATTTTCAGTTTCATTGCTTTATTTGTCTATTATAAGCTGTCAACAGTAATCAATTTAGAGCTTAAGAACAATATATTTCATAATTTGAAAACTACAGTTTTATCTGTTATAAATTGTTAATTGGCAATTACTTCACTACTTCCATAAAGATACTTTTCTTGAACTTTCAATCCATGGATTATTGCTCATTCCATAATTTTTTGACAATAGTTAGAAACTGTATCATTATAAAGCACTTTGTACAAGAAGCAATTAACTTTTTCATGTACTGCTGAACATTAAATGTTCATAGGCTAACAATAAAAATTAATTCAACAATCAAATAACTTAATTCCATAAAAATGTTAAATATTAACCATTTATTGCATTTCAGTTGTTTTTAATTTATATACAGAGCACTTAGTTATGATATGACATTAATCTTCTTTCACAGTTTGGCAAACTTTTCCACCACTGCATCTACTGAATCCCTGAAAGATAGATCACATCACTTTATAGAGTAGTACAAAATGAACATAAAAGCAATTGGTATTTTCATTACCTTCTATTTTGTACTTTACATGGGAATATTTTTAAATGAAGCTGCAATAAGTTTTTTTCTTCACAAAAAACATAAGTTAATGCACAACTGCACTTGTCATTTAACAGTCATATTAAGATTTTTTCAGTTCCAATGTAGATTACATTTAAAAATACCTCCTTATATGTAGAAATGATTAAATTTATATTTTGCTTTGAGGAACATTAAAAGTAAAAATAATCTGATAAAAAAAAACTAAAATAAGCAATGCATAGCTAGATGTGGTCTGATAAATTGTGTCACATTTTATTCTTTTTTTATGCAAAATATGTAGGAAAATTTTTAACATACATCAGCAGAAAATAAACCATAAATATAAGTGCCCTTAAATTTTACTTGTCCTAGGCAATCAGACAATTTTCAATGTCATACAATATACCCTGGATGGGGTGGAAAAAAAGGCACTATTTTCGTTTCCCTGCAAAACAAATTTTTTTTACTATTTTTATTTTCTATAGTTTTTCTGTTTTCTTTCTTAATTACCACCCTTCAAAGTTTTAAATTGCTTTAAATTGCCCCGAATAAAATCTAGAAGAAACCCTAATTCCAATTGCCATTCATTAATCATTCATTTAGAAGTAACTAGTGGAAAAATAAAAAGCTTCATGTCCAAACTTACTGTATTTCTGCCTTGAGAATTTTCTGTCCTGCATACATGATCTCTGCCACTTGTGCTGCCACTGGGTCTGTTCCTAGAGTGGCTACAGCTACAACCTCATCACCTCTGAAATGTTTTAACATTGCTATCATTGATTGGTTACCCTATAAGAATAGGTTTAATTGTACAAACACTTTTTAAAAGATTGTTGTATATTTTATCCCCATATTCATTCTTTAAACTAGCATTGAACCTCTGATAAGATGTCTTTCTTGTTTCATTTTTTTTATCTTAATAAAGGTTGTACTTTTTTTTATCTTTGTTATGTATTGCAAATTCAGATAGTAAAATCTCTAAGTTCTGGCTCAACCTTCTGACATAATGAAAATGATATCTTTTATATACTAGTATTAACTATACACCTATGTTGATAACAGTTCTGTTCCTTTGCATGAAAGTAATTCATACATGTATGATAAGGTACTACCTGACTGGGACATGCCCAACAACTCCTTCTCAATATCTTTGCATAATTTTGAAATTGATAATGCAAATTATGAAAATTTTAGTCAAAGGGAGATAACTGTAGAAAAAATAATGTAAGAAATTGTTGAATGACATGAAAGAATTTTAATTTTTTTATGATAATTGTTGTGAACTTATCATCAAGTGGCAATATACATCTACAAAATGCATTTTGAGAATGAAAACAAACTATACAATTAATTTATTACTGAGGTTAACACAAGTGGGTTGACCAAGATGAATGTTAAACCAGAGGAAAAGATTTGACTACTGTGAATTAAGAAACCTGGCCAGTTTCTAAAATGAGTGAATACTAATTCAATCAATTGCATTCAAAATGAAGATGCCACAAGCGAACGTCAATTTATAATGTCTTCTGAAATATGGAAAAGTACTTTTTAAAATAAGACAATTTTATTTGAAAGGACAGATTTTATTTTTAAACTGTTTAAAATACTGAGAAAATTCCTGTAGCATTGATAACTGATGCAAATAAAACTAAAAAATTCAAGACATGAATGCCATCATCTGCAAAATAACTCAGCAACTCTGTAAAAAGTATGTCATTCAGAGTCAGCTTAATATGTACAGCAGTAAAGGGAAGAAATCCAGATAATTTTGAATAACACTATGAACCAGAGCCTCTTGTGGTGGTGGTGATTGTGAGATTGCAGATGGTGCTTGCATAAACAATTTGCTCACTAAAATTCTGATTTTCAGTATACCATACAGATAATGCAATTAGTTCGTAGTCCACAAAACCAGTTAGTTATAAAGTGTTTACTTTGTATAGAATGCTGTAAAGTTAGGAGCATCCAGATCACCATGGACTACAATGTCATCATAACCAAAACCATATCCTGAAAATACAAATATCAATATCTTTTCATATTTTATATGGAAAGAGACTAAGGCGATGAAGTAGATAAGCCTTTACTTTTTTCTACTCAACATACAGATACATTTGGAAATGTTAGATCTGTTGTAAGTTTGGTGTTTCATCATTTATTGGTCCTTTAGGCAAGTTACATTCAACATTTGTCAGTGAAAATTAACAGTTCATATGAATAAAAGTAGATATACATAAATGAGACAGCATGTTGTCGACGAAATGACCTTTTAAAAAGACATTCTCCAACAATAGCGGTTGGTATAAATAGTCTATATTATGAGGCTTATATGAGCAAAAATCAATCAGATATAACCATTCTAAAGAGCATTTCTGCTTAAGTTGTTCACCTTATATACAATAGTTTGAAGAAATTACAAAAGTTAAAAAGCAGATCATAGATGGGTGCCATCAAGTGATAACATTAGCAGAATTACATAAAAGCATGGGCAACATGACAAGAGTAATGCATCACATCACGGTATATATAGATTTCACCCTTCAGAAATTGATTTTATTTGCTTTTAGTGAATACTATCTTAACTTCAATTACTCTTTTATCTCCAGGATAACAAAATCCTACTTTATGTTAAATTACTTAAATTAAAAATCAGAGAAAATTGCACATTTTATATCTATATCTGTTACCTGTATATCTAATGCTCTTTTTATACATCATAGTCCAGAAAAATGGCACACTCTTTACATCTTCATTTTTCTCTAGTATACCTAATGCAGCTGCCTTTCCTTTAACAAACAAAAGACTACATTTTGATACAAACTTTTCAAACGATCCAAATTATTTTCTACTTTGAATAACAATATTCAACCAAATTATTTTCTACTTTGAATAACAATATTCAACCAAATTATTTTCTACTTTGAATAACAATATTCAAGGGCCGTTTAAAACTAAATATAATTTAATCTGGAAAATAACAGACTTGAGTATCATGACAGGTGGAGCAAGTAGTGCTCCCCTTTCCAAAGCACTAAGAGTTCACTTTTGCTTTTGCTGGGAGTTTTGTTATACTGAATCTTAAGTTGTCTCTGCATTGTTTAATGGACTGCTATTCATGTTGTTTTTTTTCTTTTGGCCATGGTTTATATGCAAGGGTGTATTCAAATTGATATAGGAAGACAAAAAATCTAAGATATAGAACTTCACATACAATTATCATATTTTACAATGCACATCAACAAGATATTGAATTTCTGTCATCAGCCTATTATTTCAAATATAATTTTTATGTCTAAAGGACTGAGGTCAGGAGAAAAATCCTGACAGCATAGAACTTCTCTAATCTTTTAAACAAGTTTAGCAATTTTCTAGCTTTTTCTTCTTTGCTATGCTAAAATGAAAAATAAAAAAAAATCCTTTCGCTTATCATGATGAGAATCAAAAAATGTAAGATTATGGCCTTATTATGGAGCATAATTAACCATGGCCTCAAAATGGAGCATAGTTGATCATGGCCTTAAAACGGAGCGTAATGGATCATGGCCTTAAAGTGAAGCATAATTGACCATGGGCTTAAAATGGAGCATAATTGTCCATGGCCTTAAAATGGAGCATAACTGTTGATCTTCCCGCTAGACGTATATATTCCTTACCATGTGCATGAGCCATCTGCCAATGTTGTACATTAACTTGCTGGTCCCCTGCTGTAAATAAGGGAAATTCCACAATATCTCCTGCTGCATAGATACCATCAACATTGGTTTTCATGTTCTAAAAATAAATTTGACCAATATTTCAAAAGATGAAACCCTTTGATTATGACAATTTATCTGTAATATTAGAATCTTTTGACCAACAAAATTGTTCCATTAGCGCAACTTTGATTTTGATACTTGGCTGTTGTGATTATGGTACTAGAAGATGTCAAGGATTTTTGGATGATCTAACTCGGACAGTACAAAGCAAGTTCTATAAAATAGTAAAAGTAATAATTCAACACATACTATTGTGATACCAGTACAAACTGAAACATACATGACATAAATGACTCTTCATGTTATTTTATATAATTTATTCATTTCTTCCAAAAATGTCATCTTCAAGAACCTATATTGTTTATTGATGACTATGAAAGTATCGCCAGTATTATTTTTATGTCGTTTTAAGGCCTTCTTGATCTTAATTTAAGGTCAGGTGTTCATACAGGACCTTAAAGCAACATTCAGAATGAACAACATAATCTCTCTTATTTTACATCTGATATATTCCTGCTATTTGTACTTTGGAGGATAAATGCCTCACCCATACAATAACTTAAGTTTTGCTACTCTCTCTAGTAAAATGTTTATACAGAGGAAATAGTTATTTACCTTATCAACTGGAATGAATCCTCTGTTTGTCATAGTAATGTCTGAATCTTTCAAAAAGTCAGTGGCTGGTACAACACCTGTGTAATAAAACAAAAATATATAATTATTTGAAATTCTAAAAAAAATTGTGTAGTGTTCATTAAAAGGGTAATTTTGCAATATATGACAAAGGTTAATAATTTTGACCATGCTTACAATTATTTTCATTAAAAGTACATGTGCTAACAATAATTTAAGAAATGGTCACAATGACAATTTTATATAGTTTTCATATGTTGAAATCATTCTTTGGCAAACAAAACAAAAACTATTAAACAATACTTATTGATAACTTTTAGCAAAGCATTATGCCAATAACTAGCTTCCATTATATAAATAGACAGATGGGTTCTCATCTTTGTTTTCTTGCCCAAAAACAAGGTAAAACTTTGTTGAGTTTGCAAAATTATCTACTTTTATTACTCCTCTAAATTGAATGTGCAAAGTTGTCTCCCCTAAATCACAGATTCTAAGTCAATTATTGCAATTTGTAAATATATCTTAGGAGAATAAGATTTTATACAGCATGGGCCTTACCAAGAAAGTAATAATGAACTCTAAGTTATGCCCAAGTTATAGTTGTAACAATTAACAAGAGTGTACCACTAAAATGTCTCATCTGCTTTGTTGATCATGATTGAATTTATGCTTATGTAGAAAGAGATAGAAAGGTTATACAAGCATTCCATAAAATTAACATTATCAATGATCCATGTAAATGAGGTAAAGGTCAGATGAACCCTGTTAGATGGACATGTATGGCTAACAATCATATGCCAAATCAAGTTAACCTATTGCTTCTAGTATCCGAGAAGCATCTCTTACCAGGAAAACTAAAACTTGACTAATGAAAAATGAAATTAGGTCAAGGACAGATGTATTCTGCCAGACAGACTTATACACCAGACAATCATTCCACCACATATAGTTAACCTATTGCTTTTAGTATCTGAAAAACAGACTAAATAATCACGAAAACATAATGCTGACTTTTGAAGCATGAAAATGAGGTCAAGTCAGACAAACCTGCAAACCATACAATCATTTCATACACCAAATACAATTGACCTCACGCTTATAGTACCTGTGAAACAAACCTTACCATGAAAACTTAACATTAACCACAGAACCATTAAAATGAGGTCAAGGTCAGATGAACTCTGCAAAATAGATATGTACATCTTGCAATCATTCCATGCAACAAATGTAGTAGTCATATTTCTTATAGTATCTGAGAAACAGAATTAACCACAAAAACTTAATATTGAAAAATAAACCATGGAAATGAGGTCAAGTTCAGATGGTCCCTGACAAACAAACTTGTACACCTTACAATCATTTCATACACCAAATAAAATAGACCTATTGCTTATAGTATCTGAGAAAAGGATTAAAACTCATAAACCTAACATTGACCAGAGGTCATGGTCAGTTGAACCCTGCCAGACAAATATGTATGCCTTACAATCATTCAATATACATAAAATATATTTTACCTTATGCTTATAATATCTGAGATATGGACTTGACCACAAAAGCTTAACCAGGATCACTTATCCATGAACTGAGGTTAGTCAGGTGAACCCTGTCTAATGGACATGAAGACCTTTCAAGGGATCATATACCAAATATAGATATCCTTTTATTTATAAAAATTTGTAAGGGTTCCGCGGAACCCAGTGTCTCGCCTACTTCTGCTGTTAATCGCAGGCTCAACAAAAATGAGGAAAAAAATCAATAAAAATATTCCTTTAGATACTATCTTTTGATTGTAAGAAGCTTCTGTCAAAATTTGGTATAAATCCAGGATAGTTTATGAATCTAATAAATGTTTTAAAAACTTTAACTGCAGACTGTATTTAATGTTAACTGGAAGAAAAACTAAGTCCATTTATAAGTAAAATACGGATAAACAGGTACAAAATTTTATCAAAATTTCCTTCTAGATACTAGCTTTTGATCATAAACAAGCTTCTGTCCAAGTTTGGTACAAATCCAGGATAGTTTAAGAAAGTTATTAAAATTTTAAAAACTTTAACCACAGAGTGAATGTATTGTTTCCTGGCAGAAAAACTAAGTCCATTTATAAGTAAAATACGGAAAAAATGAAAAAATTTTTTAACAAATTTACTTCTGGATACTATCTTATGATCATAAACAAGCTTCTGTCCAAGTTTGGTACAAATCCAGGATAGTTTGAGAAAGTTATTAAAATTTTAAAAACTTTAACCACAGAGTGAATGTAATGTTTCCTGGCAGAAAAACTAAGTCCAGTTACAAGTAAAAAACGGAAAAACAGGAATTTTATTTTTACAAAATTTACTTCTGGATACTATCTTATAATCATAAACAAGCTTCTGTCCAAGTTTGGTACAAATCCAGGATAGTTTAAGAAAGTTATTAAAATTTCAAAAACTTTAACCACAGAGTGAATATTTGTGGACGACGCCGACAGAATGTAAGATCGCTATGTATCGCTTTTTTGACTAAAGTCAAAGGCTGGACAAAAAGTGAAAAATTTATTTTTTAGGCAGTGTTTAACCATGAAAATGAGGTTAAGGACAATGGACATATGCTGAAACTTCGTAACATAATGCATCTGTGTTCAAGGTATAAAGCATCCAGGTCATCTATTCTCTAAAATTTAAGATTGTTACAGATAGGTTACGCCATAGCTTGATAGTATTCTGCAACTGCAACAAGAAAAACATCATATGAGGTCCACTTACCAAACAAGCAACAGTTGTTTTAAAAGATAACATTTTATTAATCACTAAGTTTGAGTGTCCATCTGACTTAAGGAGCTCAATATGTCACTTAATTTTTACAAAATATGACATGATGTCTACCATTGCTTAAAACAAGGTCAATTGGCATTTCCTCCTGTTACACTAAACACATGGCTATCAAGTAATGCCTAAAATGGCAAGATCACATGACACATTAGTACCTACCTACTCCTAATATGGCACATTTATCCATTGGTACCTACCTACACCTAATATGGCAAGATCACATGGCAGTTTTGTGTCGTCTGACAATACAGCTTCTGTTGCTCTGTTGTCATTTCCAGTAAATTCTTTGATCCCTCGTTCAAAATAAAACTTCACCCCTTGGTCCTCATGTAACTAAACAAAATATGTTTTTTTTTTCAAAATAAAGTTTGAATCTGTATTCTTATCAAAATGACTATTTATGCATTTATAAATGATTTATAGTAAATCTGAATTTTCATTTACACAGTAATTACAATTGATAAATAAAGATAAATAATCTATATAAAATCTCACTTATTTAGGGAAAAAAAAAACCAACTGAAAATTTACAAACTGGTATATAATTTATAATATGCATATCTAAGACATTAAGCTGTAAATATACAATAATTGAAACAGATTCACATGAAGCATTGATATTATGAGACATTGAAGTGTTTAAACAGGTACAAACTGATGTTACTATTTTTTACTTATATAATACCTTTGTAATCATATTCCCTATTTTTATCCCTAGGATATTTTCAAATGGGGCTTTCCCTCTGACGAGAACAGAGACAGATTTAGCTACGGATGTCATATATGCTGCAACCTCCATCCCTAATAGGAAGTAAATAACCATCTGTATATTGTTCTTGATTAATTATATATGATTACCGATTCCTATAAAGATCTGCATCTTTCTCCTTTTTATATTAGTTTACTAGCCCCTATTATTTTTGGAATGTACAGTCAAACCTCAATATAATGGTCACCCTCTAGACCTGAGAAAAATGACTTTTGAATTGTGATTTAAAATGCATAGGTATTACTGCATCGGGACAGCCAACATTGATAAAATTATATTTTGACAGTCAGATTTCTTTTTAGTCTAAAAATAATCTACTGGTATCATGTTTGTTATTGATAAAAGTCTGGAAGGAACCTTTTCACCAAAAATGTATATTTCAAAACAAATGGATCCCCATTTCCATTTTCTATTCTATGCTTTAATTTCCAAATTCTGATAGAAGAAAGATGCAGATAAAAAAAGAACACTTTCATGATAATATGCTAAAATGTTCAATCATGTCCTGTGTCTTCTGTCGGAGGAAATCATGTGTCACTTGGGAAACTTGTATTATAAAAAATTCACAAGAAAAGAATTCTTTAAAAACTAAGCCAGTTTCTAAGTGGAATTGGTGGATTAGAGATGCATAACCCATATCAGAACCACATTCAATATTGGTCTGACTACGGGAAAATCCAGATGCAATCCAATATATTAAAAATAGGTGTAGTATTCAATTTTAGGAGAGTTTGTGCATATTTTACTAGTTCCTGTGGAAAATTGTAAGATTAACCAGATCACTCAAGAGTGACAACAAAGATAACAGATGATGATTATTGACCCCTGTGTATTGACACAGAAATGTATGCAGTTTACATTTGCCTTGTATTGACTCACAAAAAGAGCAAAGAAATAATATAAAACTATAAATTTTAACAGGATCTTCAATACCTTGGAAGCATGTTTGCATATTATCATGAAAGGTTCTATAACATCTTATTGGTATAAGTGCAAAGACTGGTAGTTAGGCAGCTATTGGTTTGCATAAAGAGCATGCTCTCTGAAACAGAATTAATATGGTTAGTTTATTAGTTTAAATAAAATATTGTTTTAGTAACTTTGGATAGTGGCTAAAAACAAAAATAATCTGAAAGAACAACTATTGATGGGTAAATGCAAACTAATCTAAACTAAACATTTAAATAAATATAAATGATATATGCTAAGTTTAAACTGATATCTATGCTAAGTTTTAACTGCTATCTACCAGCATGTGCAAAAATAAATGTTGGTAATTTTGTGAGATTTCTTAACTAGCAACAAAAGTTTGAAGATACCATAATCTACATGCAATTTTATTATTATCTTCCAGGGAATAGACAAGACAACATCATACATCAATCAGGAAAGGGACAAGACAATATCATAAGTCAATCAGGAAAGAGACGAGACATATATAAAAACTAATTGAAATCTTTGGTACATAATTCAGCACATTTAACCATCCTTTTTCAAATTTGAACAATTTGTATAGACATTGTTTTACCAATTTATAATCAGAATTTAGCAAAACAATTTATGATTTTCTTTTTAATATTTCCCGTCAAAGAGAAATGATTCAGATGAGGAAGTTATCTCCCCTTACATGACAAATCAGTAAGTTGAAAACCAATTTACAAGAAAACTTTTTAAGTGTGTACATCATGTCAACAAGTTAAGTTTTCTTTTTATGGGGAGGTACGTGCACCATGAAATCTTAATTAAGTATTGTATAAATAGAAACTTTATGGGAAAACAGGATTTCCAGTCCCCCCCAAGATTTGATTAACGACTGTGGATTAATTTAGTTTCGTGGGTACCAATTTTCATGGCTAGATGTAAATTGTATAAAACTGATTTCCTGGTACATGTATTGCAAAAGTTAGTATACAATCCTATAGAAAATTTATACTTTGTTAAACATTTTTTGGTTTCCCTATACCCACGAAATCATTGAAAATCGGTACCCCAGGAATAATATTGAATTTGCATTAGTAGTATCAATTGTTTACACTTTCATAAGTTAGAAAAAAACACCAGTATAATAATTGTATGGTTCACCTAGCAAACTTAACTTAATTGCTGTTTGTACACACTCAAGTAAGCTCTATTTAAAACAAAGGTTATAATATTATGCCAAAATATTGACAAAAAATCTGCTGATAACAAATTCTCTTTGGTCACAAGACTTTCACCATACTTCCCAACAAATTATGTACTAAAGAAGCCAGAAGCAAGCCACCAAGCAATGGTTAAGTGAGGGTAACATTGTACCTTTTGTAAGACTGATCCTACTTTTTCACCAAGGACCAATTGGAATGGTACTTTAATAATGTCTACTACAGATACACTCTCTGCTTTGTCAGCCAAGAAAGCTGCTACTTCCATACCTTAAATATCAGACACCACACTAAATTTTGAGGTTTCTTTTCAAAATTTCAATTTTCTCCCAAAAAATTTATAAACTTTTGTCAATGTGATTTCAGTGAAAAAATATAGGCAAAAAAATGTACATATATACTTGAAAAAAAATTTGGACACAAAAACATGTATCTCACCTTCCTGTATGAAGTACAAGTCACAACAACACTTAAATACAGGCAAACGAATCAAAACAAATAATCTTACTGATCCAGGTTTGAACATCTGCACACGATAAAATGTATTTCTGTCCAATATATACTATATAAAATTTATAAATAAAAAATGTGGGAGATTTTTAACTGAAAATATTTATCATGAACAGAAAGGAAGACAGATCAAAAACAATTAAAATTTTGCTGTTTGCTTGCAGCCTTAGTAAATTTTATTTCTCATCTTATTGCATTTTTTATTAGGGGGAGGAATCTTATGGGGTAGGATTACACTTAGAATACAGATATTCATTTAACTTTTGAACAGTAATTTACAAATTTCTCAGGGAAAATTTGCATCAAATTACCAGGAGATGACCTTTCTCTGATGAAATAATGTTACATGGACCAAAAGAGTATTTTAAGTGCAGATATAAGCAAACATTCAAATTGAAGCTGTTCATGCAAATACTACATCATCCTAAACTTATTGCTAATTTTATAAAGGTAATTTCTTGTAATCTTTTTATGAAAAACATTTTTAAGACTAACAGTCATGATTCTAAATAATCAATGTGGGTCTTCTAACATATTTTTTCATCTACAAAGCATGGAATGTGCTCAATAAACTGTATGAAACATAATATAAATATCTTAAACAGAAATTAATTCATTTAATAAATAAAAATTACTTTCAACAAATAGGTAAGTCCCCTGAAGTAGAAATATAGATTAAAGTAATATAATGAAGATTATAAAAACAAATTCTAATTTTTAATTCATATTTTGATGCAATTTATATGAATTAAGGTAAAGCTACTAAAGACTATAGTCTGTTCTGAGTTCTATCAATATTCTTCCAAAATTTCATCAAAAAATTTTTTACACATGGTAGCTGAATTAAATCCATTTATTTGCATTTTTTTTTTAGGAAAATGTGATTTTTGTTTGTTTGGTATAATATTTCTATAATATTTCTTATATAAAGTCAATACCTACCAATGAAAGATGAACCAATTATAACCACTTTTTTGCCTTTGGCAGCTTCTGCTATTTTATTGGCATCGTCAGGGGTCCTCAGTAAACAGACATTCTCAAAGTCTGCCCCATTTATTGGTAACTGTCGGGGTCTATTAAAATAACAAATCTGATCAAAATTCTGTAATATTTAACATGCTTTAAGGTATTTGCTTTGATACATGCTGCAAAAGTATATTTAGGTCTAAACAAATTGGCTGACCCAGAAAATTTTATTTGTGTTATACAATCATTTCTTTGTTTTATGACAATTTACTTCGTTATTTACAAGTGTTAACCCCACCTCATCTCCTTTATCCAAGCAAAACAAATTATATTTCCTGGGGTCAAATCTGCTAGGAAAATGAAATATTCTTGAAAGAAAGGCAAAAAATACCAAACTCATAAGTTGAAGACCAACTGACAATGCTAAGGCAAAAATCAAAAAATGACCAATGGACAAACAACAAGCTACAAAGCCCAACATAGATATCTAAAAACTGATCAACACACACTCTACCAGGACTTTTCTATTTCAGAAAAGTACAGATGTGATTTTTCAGTAATTTTTTGTACTTGATTTGAGAGGTGGTGTTAGTTAGATGATTTAAAACTAGTATGACAAATTGCATTTTCTGGATTAGCATGTTCCTAAATTATGCATCAGTGCTAAATCAATGATGAATTATATTGCAAATATATCACGACTGATCTATTTCATATTTCAATTATACAGACAATAATCATCTTAGTTTTTTAATAATGTATGTCTTTTGGTGACTGTTGATAACACGACAGGTGCCACATTTGGAGCAGGATCTGCTTACCCTTCAGGAGCACCTGAGATCACCCCCAGTTTTTGATGGGGTTCCTGTTGCCCAGTCTTCAGTTTTCTATGTTGTGTTTTGTGTTCTGTTGTTTGCCCTTTTTTTTTTTTAGCCCATGGCATTGTCAGTCTGTTTTCGACTTTATATGAGTCTGAATGTCCCTTTGGTATCTTTTGCCTCTCTTTGATAACTTTATATTAACTTCAGGATGAAGAAAACCAACCAAAGTATTTTTTGTTATAAATCATTCCATTTCTAAATAGGATTGTGCTTTGTACATAAAAGGAATTCTTAAACAAGAATGTGCCCATAGTACATGGATGCCCCACTTGCACTATAATTTTCTATGTTCAGTGGATCGTGAAATTGGGGTCAAAACTCTAATTTGGCATTAAAATTAGAAAGATCATATCATAGGGAACATGTGTACTAAATTTCAAGTTGATTGGACTTCAACTTCAGCAAAAACTACCTTGACCAAAAACTTTAACCTGAAGTGGGACAGACGGACGAACAAACGCACAGACCGAAAAACATAATGCCCCTCTACTATCGTAGATGGGGCATCAAAAATGTTAACATATAATACTAGACCTTTTGGTATGACATGCTGGACATAAATCTTATACATTATATTGCAATGATTGTTTGAGAAATAATCCTTTGATGCCATGCTCTATGCTCATTTTAACATGGGTATGCATTATATTTGTCAATACAATGTATCTTTAAACCGAGTGTTAACTTCATGTAAACTTACTTTTAAAATGATCTTATTTAATTTCCTAGCTAGAAAAACCAACACAAATGTCCATTTTGATCTCTGGCGTTGTTCAAAATACAACTGGCATTGCAATTTCAATTGCAACGTCAATCACATGCAGCCCATGTTTTATTGCAATTTGCCTCCAAAGCGAAAGAAGAATGTCATATTATATTGACTGTATTTACTTACTTTCCTCCAGTTGCGATGACTAGTGATGTATAATTGAGAGACGATTCATCCTCAAACTTAACAATCTTAGCTTGACTGTCTACAGAAGTTGCCTGTAAATACAAGATGTATCCTAAGTTACATTCAAATATTTCGCTAATGAAAATTCAGATATTATTGCAAGGTTTAGATTAATGCTAATAATGCTACGGGGTGATGGTCCCAATAATTAGAACTTGCATTTTGACATCTGAGACATTTATCTTTATGCAGATTTTCCTGGAATTGAAAGGTTAATCTGGCATTTTTGTCCATTCTTAAAAATTCACAAAATGATAAATGCACACAATAATTTCTGAGTTTACAGTACATCTTAAATTAAGAGATTCAAGAATTTTCAAGAATCCCTGTATAAAATATTTCTCTGATTTATTTCACTACAGGTTTAAAAATACCACTGACAATGCATTATCTGATTACATATAAATGCAGTTTTCTTTGTCTAATGTTAAGGAAATATAAAAGGGCTACGTCACAGACTTTGGTAAACTTTTGCATACAACTTTGGCTCATTGAATTATAACTAAAAATCAAGAAAATAATGCCTCTCTCTCTTTTATTTTCTGAAATATAACTGAATGAATTCTTTCATAATAGGTGAACATTTGTAAAGAAAGCTCATAAAATTGTCGAAAAACCTTAATAAATTTGTCTTAAAATCATCAAATCTCAAATTTTAAATACATCGATTGTTCTTAAAAAACTGTATGATGTTGATACATAAATTTCTGTTTTAATGATATAAAATAATCATGGGGTCACCAACTTTGTTTTTTGGCGTAATAACCAATCTGGTAGTGAAAAACGTCAAAAATCAACCTTTCACGGCCTACATATATAAAAGAGATAAATGCATCATTTTTTTTTTGAATTTTCAGATATAATTCAAATAGTCTATGTCAGATTCAAAATAATGTCAATTCACTGCCATCATTGTACTAAAAGTTTAGTAAATAAAACTCTGTAAGCAATCTTCAACTAACACATCTATCATCTACAACAGCCCATTAATAATAACAGTCCCTTCAAAGTTTGATGAAAGAGATACAACATATTTACCTTTTTATTATTAAGGATGTCAATACCATTTGTTTTGTAGAAGTCAGCATTTCGGAGTACAATAGCATCTGCTGAAGAATCCATGGCCTAAAAAATAAATATCTTTAGTAAAAACATCTACTGTAACTATTTCAAAAAATTGGACAGTTATCTCCCTTAGACTGTAACTGAAAATATTATTAAATCACAATTTTCTATTTCTTAAGAAATCTTATAAAACTAAATATGGTTCCCTTGAAAAAATGTTCAAAACTCCACCCACATTTAATTTTCTCTTTTGCTTTAAAGGTATGGAGTTTTATGAGCTATTTAAGAGTCAAAATCCACATCGAGGAAATCATTGCTCCATGCAGCAACAAAGCAACAAAAGATGTTTTCTCTTATTGTTCTTGAACATATTACAAATAGAAATGCCCACTTCATGCTGCTAATGATGAGCATTTACTTTCATTCCTTGTACATATTGATATATATTTACTTCAATATATATTTATTCAATATTCCATCCTGTCAAAAATACGATGTGCTAATAAAAATTTCCTATATGAATTATTTAGATCTACAATAAAAGCAATAATGTACAAACTTTGCTAAGTTTGATTCTGTCATATGGTAAATGTCTTTCTTGTGTTGCTATGGTGATTTTACCAGTAAATCCTTCCTTCCTTAATGTTTCAGCACACATAACAGAGGCTGGACCTACAATCATAAATCATTGAAAAGTTTCATCCATTAAATTTGAGACCGTTCATTTATAGTAAATGATTAGAGGATTAAACTGTTATAACAACTACTGAATTCAGATTGATTTATTGGTGTTTACCGCCACTTTCAGCACTATTATGCTACTTGTGTTTCACAAGCTAACATGCTAAAAATTGCCATCATTTACTTGAACATACTATACATTAATTCTGTAACTGAAACTAAATATCTTCCACATAACTGAGTAAACTAAAGCACCATGTTTTCTTCTTCCTAGTTTCAAATTTCTTATTTACAATGAAATATAATAGTAATACCCTTCATAGGATGGTACATTTACAGTTATTTGTTTCTATATATAGAAATTTTTGTTCTGACCCAGCTGAGATCTGTGAACTTCTTATTGTCACAACCACAGAAGGATCACAAATGTGTTGATGTTGCAATATATATGTTAGAGCATGTCATGCAGTGAAAGCCACTTCTCTATGTTAGAAGACATCATATTGTAATCTTAAAATGTGTTGTTCTACTTATATTTTCATATGTATTTGAATTTCATCAGTATCTATATGGTTATTCATAACATTATCATTTTGTTATATTACTAACCTCCACCAACTATTAGAACTGATTTCTGGTTGTCTGCAGATTGTTTGCACATTGACTTTTGAACTTTGCTTGAAGTCAGAAGTGCCTTGTCACCTTTAACCTTTACTTTGCCATCAGCAACTGTTACCTAAAACAGAAAATAAATCATTTCAATTTTATTCAATAAAATCAATTTCTTTTACAGTCAACTGAAGTATAACTGATCATTCCCTTTCATTGATGCCAAGAAAGATTTGACAAAAAATGTCCTTATACAATGCTTGTTGTAAAATATAAAATGTCTGCAAACAGGAAGTGGATGCACTGCAGATGTAAAAATAACTTACATGAAACAACTCATCTTTATCAAGCTGCAGAACAAATATAAAATCAGTCCCTAACATAAAAACCAAGAAAAGTTTGACAAAAGTTACACAAGGTCTTTTGGACATATGAACGGGGTGAAGCGGCCAATAGACCTGCTTTCCACTGCAACAGAGGTAAAAAGATGCCCTACCAACTGACAATTATCAAAGTTTAAATTGCTACCATTAAGATTATAGGCAATGACTAAGTTTTTTAACAAAAACTATTGTTTCCTTTTGAAAGTATCTAAAAATTGCTCTCATGTCTTAGATACCTATTTGGTTTTATTATATATTTTGGGGTGGCAATGGTGTCTCATTGAAAATTTTCCACTATATATTTCTATTCATATATATATATATATAGTTTTGATCAAGGAAACTACAGAATAATTTCATTTTATTTAATTTAACTCATCTATTTTTAATGAAGAAATTCCTACTCCTGTTGGACTACTGTAAATTCATTGATATATATTAGTGGGATACTAATTTATGTGGATTTTGTAGGTAGGTATAGTAGGTATAGTAGGTATAGTAGGTATAGTAGGTATATAGGTATAGTAGGTATAGTAGGTATAGTAGGTATAGTAGGTATAGTAGGTATAGTAGGTATATAGGTATAGTAGGTATAGTAGGTATAGTAGGTATAGGTTTACCAAAATTGAAAAGTTCAACAAAGTGCAAATTTTCTATAAGCCTATATGCAAACTTTGGAAAATCCACGAAAATATATTTCATTTCTCAATCTACCAATATTGATACCAGGAAAGTGAATCCCCAGCATATCACATTCTTTGAATTCCAGTTATGACAAGAAAAAGTTGAATATGAAGCTTACATCAAATTTTGGAAGACTGTCTAATCCTGGGAAATCTTCAATATCACCTGTCTTTACATTAAAACAAGCACCATGCCAAGGGCAACGAACTCTTCCATTGTTTAAAGCACCTGAAATACATTGTTATCATCTTTAATTACAAATTTTAAACTATTGCTTTGAGCAAAACAATAAAGGTGTAAATGTAACATGTAACAAATTTTTGCATTCATTTAGGAGATAACTAACGCGTCGCCAGCAAACTTAATTTGCGACCATCAAATCACCAATTGATGCTGTCGGAGCTTAAAATACAATATTGTTTTCTCCATTCTAATGAAACTGACAGAAAACAACACCAAATCATACATTTAAAAATCTGTCATACGTCGTCTGGGCATGCACGTACGTTTTCATAGCATCAATTGTGAATTGATGCCATGAAAAGTGGTGACGTTATCCAATTAAAATAAACGTTACAAACGATGTTGCATTAGAATTAATATTGTGATGGTTGAAGAATGGACAAAAATTAACTATTGTAATTTGCAGAAATGCTGCTAATAAATAATGCTATCAAAATTTAAAACGCGAGTTCATTTTTGTGAAACCTATCACATAGCAATATTCGCAATAATCAAAACATCGCACAAATTGATGAATTTATAGTAGTACTGGCGATTCCCTTCACTGATACAAACCGAAAGCTGAAGAAGCATCAATGTAATTATTTATCGTCTATATATTTTCTCTCTAATAATACTTTGCAATCACTGATACAGTGTAAGAGTCAATTCATCAATTGCCTACATATAAGTACTGGCCTTACCCTCTCCTTCATCAAGGATACAATGAGTAGCATCATAGTGAGAAAATCTATTGCCAATAAAGTTTCTAGCATAGAACTGGCCATTCTTTTTTCTCTCAGTGATACAAACCTTTAGCTAGAGGAGCACCTTAGTGAGTACATTTATTGCCTATAGCATAGAACTGGCCATTCTTTTTTCTCTCAGTGATACAAACCTTTAGCTAGGGGAGCACCATAGTGAGTACATTTATTGCCTATAGCATAGAACTGGCCATTCTTTTTTCTCTCAGTGATACAAACCTTTAGCTAGAGGAGCACCTTAGTGAGTACATTTATTGCCTATAGCATAGAACTGGCCATTCTTTTTTCTTTCAGTGATACAAACCTTTAGCTAGGGGAGCACCATAGTGAGTACATTTATTGCCTAAAGCATAGAATTGGCCATTCTCTCTAACCAGTAAAGCTTTCCCTTCTCCAACATCTACTTCTCTCATTCTGTAAAATAAGTATAGAGAAATTTACATTTACATTGCAAAATTCAACTAAGACTACTATATGGAGTAATAACCAGAATATTCATCATGTTGAATGTGGGCAGTATTTGGAAGAAGAACCAGTAAACTGACCTAATCTTTGTGATTTGTATCTAAGTTGAAGTCAGGAAGACATCAAATCTAAGTCTTAATTTTTGAAAATTTTACTTGCATCAGACACCACCCCCATTTTATGTGGGGATCTTGTTTTTCAGTCTTTAGTTATGTTTGTTGTCCTTTGTTGACTGTTGTATGTCTTTATTTATTCTTCTTTCCATTTGACCTTTGTATTATTTGTTTTTATTCAACTTATGATTTTTATCATTCCTTTGTAACCTCAGTTTCTGTTTCGAGGTCATGTGGTAAGCTTTAATATGTTTCTACCTCTATCAAATGGTCTTGTCCACGAATCTAGTCTGATTTTGTACATATATAGATTTTGTATTAGTTGTGGTATCTCAAAACAAGTACTGAAAATTCAGAAATTATTGCGAGGTTTTTATTAATGCCAATAATATGACAACTTGAGTACCGCAATAATAAGTACTTGCATTCTGTTTCCAATACATATATCTGTATGTAGCTTTTCCTAAAATCGCAATAATTAAACTCGCATTTTTGTCAATTCTTCAAAAAATCGCAATAATAAATGCACGCAATAATTTCTGAATTCACAGTATGTGATTAGTTGCAATAAAATGCTGACTATGTCATAAATATTTGATAAGTATCTTTCTGCAAAAAAGGCAAATTGAAAGATAAAAAAATACAATATACATTTAAACAGAAAAATCTTAGACAACATTCTTTTATCAGTTTAATTTGTTTAACTAAAATGTTTGTTTTAACGCAGAACATGACAAATATGCTAAATAATAGTTTGTACTTGACAACTAAGAATTCGTAGGAAGTTTTAGCCATGTTTTTGTTTCTAAATGTCTCTTAATACGTGTAATGTATTAAATCATCTGAGTAATTCTAAATAAAACAAGAAATTATGTATGTTTGTATATATGTAAAATAGTGAAACAAAAAGAGCACAGGTGCATATAGGCCAAATAAAAAAAAGTATGTTTTCCTCTTGTCCAAAAAATTCCTTATTTCTAATTGTTGGATTAATACCCTGAATATTTTTGGGCAGATCTAAGATAAGCACTGATTAAGCCAACCCATCTGCTTAAATATGAATACAAGGGGTGTGGGGTTCTCATCAAAGAGCCTGCAATACGACATACAAAAAATCAAAGACATCTAGAGGTCAACATGTGATAGTCTTAGCATATAGACAGGAAGTGTCTCAAAAATATGTAAAGATCTAAAGCCCCAAGTCTAAAACAAGTTGTGCATAAATTTAACAGAGATAAAAAAAAAAGTTTTGCATATTAAAATTAAATTGGGAATATACAAAAAATTATGAAAATAAAATACATTTAGTCCTTTTATCTACCTATTGCAATAGAAAACATGTAAACATTTGTGTGGCATTTAAATGAAATTGTGCACATTTAAAAAGTTCATTAGGTTTATTTGTTAATTTGTGACTTAACTAGGAAATTCTTCAGTACCAAAAAAGTTTGAAAATCACATTTCTTCACACCATAGAAAACCCTTTTCTGGTAAAAGCATTTTCAAAATCTCATCAAATTCAGATTAAATTGAAAGTCCTTGCAAGCACATGGAATTAAAGTGGGAAAAAAATTCGAAACTTTAACATTATCTTTGACAGTAAAAAAAAAAATTTAATAAAAAAAAAAGAAATAAAGAGCTGCGCTATAAGCGCATGATAAGCCCGTCGACAACTGGACATTTTTCGACAATTTTTCAATTAATAAAGTTCCATAACTCTGCAATGTAATATCAGAAATTTATTAAAAAAAACAAAAGGGAGCTTATTTCAATAGATATAAACAAATCAAAGAAGTTTCATGATAACTACTAAAAGGGTTTTTGAGAAATACTGGAAAATCCCCCCCTTTTTTATGAATAAAGTTGAAAAAAAAAATCAGAAATTACTAAGAATCGAAAGGTCAATATATATATAAACAATTTACCACAGTTTCATGAAAATTGTTCAAAGCATTTTTGAGTTATAGTCCAAAACTGGAAAAATCCCGCTGTTTTTATGAATAAAATGCCATAACTTGGAAATGTAAAATCTAAATTTATAAAAATCAAAAGGGAGCTGTGGCAATAGATATAAACAATTCACCAAAGTTTCATAAAAATCAGTGAAAGTGTTTTTAAGTTACTGTCTGACATGTTGACGACAGATGGACAAAGGTATACCATAATACGTCCAGTAAAAGGGCGTATAAAAAATCATAAAAATTCTAAATATACAAGTTAGGAATATTTAATGCCTGGATCCTCCACCATGAGATGTTCTTGCCTTTTTATACGTGAGGGGGACCAAATAAATCTACAAGTCATAAAACACTGCACATCTTTATTCATACATCACAAATACAAAGTGACTTACACAATTATAACCTGGAATAGCCTTTAACCTTGAACCAATTTCAACCTTATAAAACAAGTAAGTATTTTTGCATTTCTTGCAGATCTATTACAAGTATCTGAGTATAGCAAACAGGTATTTTGGAGGACTTTAAACTGAAAAGTGAAAAAAAATCGCTAAACTTTTGACACATGTTCAAGTGAAAAGTCAGGAACCTTATAAGTGGTTCTCTTTCCTAAAATCTTAAACTTTTTTTTTGTTGTTTTGGGGAAATAGGGAGCTAAATGTTGATCATCTCTGTTGAATTAATCACTTTTCTTAACTCTGATTGACTATGAGCTTGAAATAATTAATGGAGGCTAGACTTTTCTCACAATATACTTTAAAGTTCCTAATGAAAACTGTTTAGGGTGAAGGTTCATGAAAAACATGCTACCTAGTCCTTCATTGATTTTTCCTAGCATAGCCCTAACACACCTGGGCATGACTTTTTGCATGTGCCTATTATTACATAATTTTAAGTAGATTCTGTTTTTTTCAACTACAGTCCTATGTATTCTGTTAGTGAAAAATCTGGGATCAAATTCACTATAAAAATCAGGAAATAAAAAGTGAAAACTTAAAAACTTGAGAGACGATTTATCATGTTGATGGATGATAACAATAAAATCTTCTTATATAAGAGAATTTTCATTTTTCTTCTAACGAAAGTTATTATTCGTTCACTTATATGGTAATTAATGTATTGAATACAATAACTGAAATCTTAAAACAGGAAAAATACTCCACTTTTAGTCACAAAAAAAATCAAATTAGCCGGTAAAACAAGGGAAATAAAATTGGTATTTAAATTTCTCAAAATTCTTTTCTTTTAAGAAGTTGACACATTAAGATGAATAAGATGAAAATTAATGAGGTCATAAATCAGAGGAAAATTAAGGGTTAAATAAAAATTTTTAATATTTGTAAAACTTTTACATATCTTGTTATACATGTTATATCATCATTCCTGAACTAAAAAAATCAGGACTTAGTCACCTTGTCTGAAATTCTGTGTAACCACAATTATGTCCAAATTAAAACAATTACAAATGGATCAATTTTTGTCCATAATGTATATGACATATGCATAATAAGCTGACACTTGTTAATGTAACTGTATTTACCACTTCAAAACGAAGTCCAAAATTTAAAAAGACCCCCATAATTTATTTACTTCCTACCCACAATACACTGTAACTTACTCTCCATCCTTGAGGTCATCCACCTCACACACAACAGCTTCAACAGATGCCATGTCTATATCAACCTCTGACGACACTTGGACTACAAGCTCTGATGACACTAATGATGCAGACTCGGGTAATGTGGGCTCCTCTACAGGAACAACTGGCTCTGCAGGTGGTACAATATCCACTTGGGGTTCTACAAAATCTACTGCCCCCTCTCTTGTGTCTGCCTCCTGAGGAGATCTGTCCGATCCTGGCGGTGTGGTTTCTAGGCTGATAACAGTGTTAAACTGCACCGTTTCTGATTCTACGACAGGCTTATCCTCTGTGTCCCTGGGTGTATCCGGACTAGTCTATAGATAAATAAAATAACTATATTAAGACTTGCAATGTATGACAATTTTTATAAGAAGTATTCTTCTGTTTATAAAATACTGGCTGATGTTTTTTGTAAATAAACATCAATATTTGTGACAGTAATAAACTTAAATTACCACAGAGGATTTAAAAATTTATTCACAATATGAAATCAATTTATTTGAACCTGCTTCTACATTCAGTGAAATCTTTCGACATTATTGATTTTAAAACAGTCTGATTCACTCTAAAAAGGTCACATAACTTGATTGATAAGCAAAAGAGGGAAAATTACACATTCACAAATAATCTTTTTAATGCATGTACATATTACATGTATTAGCTTCAACTTCACTGATCACTTTCCATGTTAACAGGTATATTAATTAAGGCCATCTAATAACATAACTAATATTTTTATCCATACTCCATGTTACCATTCCCATTTCCAAAATTATTTCATTTTTTTTTCTTTATTATTGATGTGCATAATACGAACTGCCAATCATCATGATCATTCATTGCATTCATTAAGACACAAACTTTAAATTGAAAAAGTGTCATATATTATATGTATATTCAGTAATTCACTGTCATTTCTTAAATCTCATTTTTACCTGCAGTTGTTGTCCATTATTCAATGATATATATGTGTCAAATTCTGAATTTACCATATTATTTTCTGCCAGAACATTTGCAAAGTAAATACAATCATGTCAATGTTTTACTTTTTGCAACATGAATAATGATATAATAAAATTACATTAACAAAAAGCATTTTCAATTGCATAATCTATTAGTAAAAATCGAATTTTCTTTAAAAAACAAATTAATCAATGACTTTTTTGATCTAGAGTAATAACTTTAGTATAACTGATCGCCATATTTGAATATAAAAAATAAGACATGTGACCAAACAACACATAGATTAAACAATGCACAGTATGATTTTAATCTATAGTCATGATAGTGGCATTCAGTCACAAGTTGTCTTATTTTTCATATTCAAAGTAAAGTTTTTATCAAATAGAATATCAAACTCTTTTCTATATTACTGCAATCCGTTGAATTCACTTTATGTATTATATTGTCGATTTCACTTTATGTATTATATTGTCAATTTCACTTTATGTATTATATTGTCGATTTCACTTTATGTATTATATTGTCGATTTCACTTTATGTATTATATTGTCAATTTCACTTTATGAATTATCTTCTCGATTTCACTTTAATTATTTTGTCGATTTCATTGTAATTTTTGAATATGTGTGTATTGCATACAGTTGACAAAATGCAGATCAACACTTCTAGAAGATTGATGCCGATTTTGCAATTATTGTGAAGCAACAAGTTGTTTTATATGCACTATTAATTGTTGATATGCAACACTTAATCAATTAGTTTTAAGTATCAAGGTGCAGTTGGAAGTCTCAAGTGAGGGTCCAGTAAAATGTGGGGAAAGTCTAAAATAAACGAGTTTTTACACATCTGATTGATTGATTGTTGGTTGCTTAACGTCCAGTGGCAAATATTTCATGCATATTCAGGACGAGAACAAATTAACAATAAATACAATAGGTAGGTTCTGTAATAGGAGCTCCCGGGATTAAGGTCGGAGAAATTTAGACTGCCACGGGAAATGAGGGTATGTATATTGGATAGGGACAGAAATTTAGCCTTGCAACAGGTCACCTACGGACCCCTCAAAGAGTTGTTGCAAGGGTTCTTAACGTGCAAAGAGCGTGGCACTCTCTTTACACGAGGCATCAGATTTAACGTCCCCATTCTGACCGGACGTGGCTGCAAATTTGTACATCCCGCACAACCAAACGGACGCCCCACTTTAGCAAGGGTTTTACTGCCGGTCGGAGGAAGACCAATGGTGACCATACTTCTATTCCCCAGTCACCCTTGGGGGCTTTTACACATCTGAGATTATTGGAATTTATCACAATGGGAAATTCATATAAAGCACCATAATTTATATAATAAGAATATTTATTGGTCTGAAATAAATGTAGTTCATAGCAGATTTTTTGGGGGGTATATCATGTTGTTTTTGTTGGGTTACCGTTTTCTTTTCTTATTCCTTAATATAATGTATACTGACAATTATAAAATAAAATAAATGGAGAATGTGTCCCATCATGGGACACAGCTGATGCCCCCGCTTGCATAGAACGTTATAAATGGACATAACTCAAGAACAGTAAAAGTGACGCCACACAAATTAGAACTTGATCTGAGTTTTGTGGTAATAAGCATTGTGTATATATATCATAACATTTGGTTGAGGCAAACTAAAGTTAGAGAATGGAAACCAATTTTGAGATGTACGTACATACAGACGGACAAGGGTAACACTTAATGTCCTCTCCACTGACGGCAGGGGCATAAAAATCCACCAATCTACCTTAACATACATAGTATGTACAGGCTACTCGGTATGGGTTTTTCTCATTGTTGAAGGTTGCCTATAATTGCTTACATCCACTTCATTTGAACTCTGGTGGATAGTTCTCATTGGCAAACATGCCAAATCTCCTTATTTTCATATAATGTCTTAAAGGCAACTTCTTTTCATTGTGAAATTTTAAAAAGTAAGAAATATACATGTCATGAGTGTTAGCAAACATCTTCGACTTGTTTTACCTCAGTTTCAACCTCTTCTTTCTCAACTGCCTCCTTCACGTCACTTTCCTCTTGTTGATCAGTAGTAACAACAACTTCCTGTACCTCCTCCTGAAATTCAGTCCCAGTTTTAATTATGTTTTCCTCCTGAAATTCAGTCTCAGTTTTAATAATGTCTTCCTCCTGAAATTCAGTCTCAGTTTTAATTATGACTTCCACCTTATCACTATCCTCTTTCAGTTCAGGCTTAGTTTCACTATCTTCCTTCTGCTCCTCCTCTCCAATCTGATTATCCTCTTTTGGAACCTCCTCCTTTGATTCACTTAATTCTACTGTCACAGTTTGCTCACTCTCCTCAACCTCCTCTTTTAAATCAGATTCCTCTGTAATAATATCTTCCTTTTCTTTACTTTCTTCCCTTTTTTGTGACTCAATATAGTCCTCTAAAGCTTTATCAATTTGATCACTCTCCTCTTTAGGATTATAGCTGTTAGACTCTGAGCTATCTTTAGCACTATCAACTTGAACCTCCTCAGAAGGTTCTCCCTTGGAATCCAAAGTTTCTACTTCCTGTTTATTATTTTCAGTCACAACAGGAGTTTCTGAATCTTTTTGTTTTTCGTGAGATTCTAAATTTGAATTGTTGTCTGCAATTCCATTAATGTCCGATTTCTTAGTTTCCACAGAATGATCTCCCCTATTATCAGGTTTTTGCTCTGTTGGTGACTTATCTCCGTTTGGTTGGTTATTGAGCTGAGTATTATCGTCAATATTTGTACTATTCCTTGACAGAAGCAGTGACTCACGCTGGTTTGAAGACTTTGGTCTTTTGTGAGATGCCTTCTGTGGATTGGTACCTGCCAAGAATAAACAATTAACAATTAGTAAAAACAAATGTTTAACTTAAATTACATTCAAAATTCAACAATTCGCTTTCGAAATTTCTTAAAAAAATATGTACAGAAATCTTTTTACAACCAGTAAAATCACAGCTTAACCTTTTTCTAACCTTTAGGGATGAACTATTTGTACAATCACTCAAAAAAGACAGTACTTAATACCTATTACAAGCAATTCATCATTCTGTTTATAGGCTAAAAGCTATTTTAAAAGATATGCACATAAAAGAAAAAAATCAAAACTTTAAAATGTTTTGGTATAAAAATACATGTATATACACACCTCAAATATATCTAAATAATGTTAGTGATATAGATTTCATTATGAACATTGACAAGCATCCATAATTTTTATTACACTATAACAAGACATCTGTCTGGAGGTGATCATTACATAATAAACTGTTGAAACAGAGATATGTCTCACCTGTCTACAGAAAATTTGAAAAAAGACGATCTGATGGACAGCAACATTGCAAAGCAATTCAAAGTCGCTGGACCATGACCTAGGGGGCAGAGCCTCAAAATAGTTGCAGGAGAGACAAAAATTATGAATAGCACAATTCTGCAATTTTCTGTCACATAAACATGATAAATACTGCAAACTAAAAAATCTGTGTATAGTAGGTATACGTGTATAAACATGATAAATACTGCAAACTAAAAAATTCGTAAGGGTTCCACGGAACCCAGTGTCTCGCCTACTTTTTCTGTTAATCACAGGCTCTACAAAAACGAGGAAGTAAATCAATAAAAATATTCCACTTGATACTATCTTTTGATTGTAAGAAGCTTCAGTCCAAGTTTGGTAAAAATCCAGGATAGTTTATGAATCTAATAAATGTTTAAAAACTTTGACTGCAGACTGAATGTAATTTTATCTGGAAGAAAACAAAATTTCCTTCTAGATACTAGCATTTGATCATAAAGAAGCTTCTGTCCAAGTTTGATACAAATCCAAAATAGTATAAGAAAGTTATTAAAATTTTAAAAACTTTAACCACAGAGTGAATGTGTTGTTTCCTGGCAGAAAATCTAAGTCCATTTAAAAGTAAAATATGGAACAAATAGATTTATTTTTTTACAAAATTTTCTTCTAGATACTAGCTTTTGATCATAAACAAGCTTCTGTCCAAGTTTGGTACAAATCCAAAATAGTATAAGAAAGTTATTAAAATTTTAAAAACTTTAACCACAGAGTGAATGTAATATTTCCTGGCAGAAAAACTAAGTCCATTTATAAGTAAAATACGGAAAAAATGGAATTTTATTTTTACAATATTTACTTCTGGATACTATCTTATGATCATAAACAAGCTTCTGTCCAAGTTTGGTAGAAATCCAGGATAGTTTAAGAAAGTTATTAAAATTTCAAAAACTTTAACCACAGAGTGAATATTTGTGGACGCCGCCGACGGAATGTAGGATCGCTATGTCTCGCTTTTTCGACTAAAGTCGAAAGCTCGACAAAAATCTGTGTATAGTTGGTTTACATGTATAAACATGATAAATAATGGAATAATTAATTAGATCTTAGTACCATGAATCCTGTAAAAACAAGCGCAGACACAAAGACCAACTGTACATGACATTCATTTTGTAAATTTTCACTCATTTTAAGCACTATATATACATTAAATTTATAAGGTTTGTCTACTCCCAGACTTAGATTGCCCAAAGTAGATTTGGTACAACTTTTTAGAATTTTTGTATTTCAATGCTCTTCAAAATTGTATTTATTTTTGCCTTCAAACTTTTTTTTATTAGAATGCAACTATTGAGTCTTATGTAGATTATTGAAAATAAACAAAGGTGTATTTTTCCAATTGTAATCAATTATATCTTATTTCAACATATTTGTCAATCACAAGTATCATTCATACTGGTGGAAAACATAACCTTGGTAATACAACCGTCCTTTGATTATTCGGAGTATGGACTTTTTGTAATTTAATCATTATATGCCTTTTGACAGAAGCAGAACCTACAAAGGTGACCTTTAAGACAGAAATATATATATATTACCTAATAAATAATACTATAATATATAAAAACATAAATATCAACCTGTCAATAAACATCAATAACTTGTAACTGTCAATCATATGCATAAAGTAATCAAAATGTTTCATATCAATGTATGATATGTACAACAGAATGCCTATGGGTATGAATTAAGGTTTCTTAACCTCACTGCCCTTGAGATATTATATAGATGTTCTTTCAATTGATCAAGGCCACAGCTATTTCCAGTTAAAAATAAAGCCTAAATAATATAAGAAGTAGAAGATAAAAAAAAAAATAGAATATTGGCCAGGTTTTTTAAACTGATGTCACTTTCACCACATCAATGTTATATCGACATGTAATGGGTGCCCTAAAAATGGTTAAAGCTATACTATTTTTTTTAATTTTAGAGATCATATCATTTCAAATTTTGTTTACAATTCATCTGACAAAAATAAAACAAGAATGTGTCCATAGTAAACCAGATGCCCTACTTGCACTATCACTTTCTATGTTCAGTAGACTGAAATTTGGGTCAAAAATCTAATTTGGCATTAAAATTAGAAAGATCATATCATAGGGAACATGTGTACTAAGTTTCAAGTTGATTGGACTTCAACTTCATCAAAAACTACCTTGACCAAAAACTTTAACCTGAAGCAGGACAGACAGATGAACGGACGGACAAACGGATGCACAGATTGAAAAACATAATGCCCCTAGGTGGGGCATAAAAATTCAAAATAGAAAATGATCCACAATTATTTAATACTGTGTGAGGAATATCAATTTTAGTAAAGCAGAAGGTCTGCTTATTTTGGCCTAAAATTTGAAGTACATTTGATGAAAGATTTTTGACATTTTTTAAACACTTAAGTGTCTTCTTCAGTAGATTCATTTAGTTTAATCTAAAAGATGTGAACTGATCTGGTCATTAAAGACGCCTAAATTCAAGCTTAATTAAGAAAAATCTATCAAATATGCCACAAAACGTCACTTTTCAGATGTTTTGGTCTTAAATGGAAGTGACCGCATTCGTGTTCAGTCTCAACCTTTATATGTATTATGTTTCGTCATCAAATACAAGATATATTTAAATATTAAGACTGAACACAAGTGGGCCCACTTCCATTTAAGACAAAAACCGTCTAAAAATAAGCACAAATGCTAAAATTGTGAAGATTTCAGTAATTTTGCACAAATTTATGATGCTAGTACCTGATGCATGTGCAGTGTAATGTCAAAAAAAGCCCATATCTATATAACAAAAGTATTCTTCTTTCCAATAAATACCTAAAAGTTTACATTTAAATAAATTTTTTGAAATGCTATATTTTGGGGCCAAAAAGGGGTCTTATCAGGCCTTTTGTTGGAACAGGCAAATCACGAATTTAAAAGTTCAACAAATTAAAAATTTTCTATAGGCTTGAATACAGACTTTGACAATATCACAAAATCAAATATCCACGAAAACGCAATTTCCCTTAATCAACTAAAATTGGTACCCACGAAAATAAATGCTAAGAAATGGCAACTCTTGGTAGTAAAGCTTTAGTCTGAGTAAGCTAAAACTGCTAAAATTCAATGAAAGAAAACAAATAATCAATTCTGAACACAATTCAACATAGGGTCACATCAAGTGAATCTAAATAAATAAATTTTTCCTATAAAAAAAAACAAGAATGCACACACTGAAATGTCTCGCCTTCTTTACTAATCATTGATATTATGTTGATAGTCCTAAATATAAAGCTTTATTACAACTGTCACATAAACTTAACATTAACCAAGAAAACTAAACATTGACCAATGAACCATGAAAATGAGGTCAAGATCAGATGAACCATGCCAGGCAGGCATGTACATCTAACAATTCTTCCATACAACAAATATAGTTGACCTATTGCTTATAGTGAAAAACAGACCAAAACACAAAAACTTAACACTGAGCAATGAACTGTGAAAATGAGGTCAAGGTCAAATAAAACCTGCACGACTGACATGTAGATCATGAAATATTTCCATACACCAAATATAGTTGACCTATTGCATATAGTATAAGAAAAAAAGACCAAAACTCAAAATCTTAACTTTGACCACTGAACCATGAAAATGAGGTCAAGTTCAAATGACACCTGCCAGCTAGACATGTACACCTTACAATCATTCCATACACCAAATATTGCATACAGTATAAGAAAAACAGACCAAAACACAAAAACTTAACTATAACCACTGAACCATGAAAATGAGGTCAAGGTCAGATGACACCTGCCAGTTGGACATGTACACCTTACAGTCCTTCAATATACACCGAATATACTTGACCTATTGCTTATAATATCTGAGATATGGACTTGACCACCAAAACTTAACCTTGTTCACTGTTCCATGAAATGAGGTCGAGGTCAAGTGAAAACTGTCTGACAGGCATGAGGACCTTGCAAGGTACGCATACCAAATATAGTTATCCTACTACTTATAATAAGAGAGAATTTAACATTACAAAAAATCTTTTTTTTCAAGTAGTCACTGAACCATGAAAATGAGGTCAAGGACATTGGACATGTGACTGACGGTAACTTCGTAACATGAGGCATCCATATACAAAGTATGAAGCATCCAGGTCTTCCACCTTCTAAAATATAAAGCTTTTAAGAAGTTAGCTAACGCAGCCGCCGCCGCCGGATCACTTTCCTATGTCGAGCTTTCTGCGACAAAAGTCGCAGGCTCGACAAAAATGGAATATGTAGGATTATTTTGCTTTTTTTCCAGGAACTACCGGCAGTAAGAAGCTTTGTTGCTTTGACTTACAATCAGAGTTTAATCTGTTTTAAGGACTCAAGAACTTGTAAAAACTGCTAACTGGCTAAGCTTATATCAAAATATAAAATTTGGGGCAAGCTCTTTGGAGATAGGGCATGGAGTGAAAGTGAAAAAACAAATTAACT